AAAAAAGGACAAAAAAATCCCCATGAGGAAACAAACCCCCAATCTGATAACAAAACCAAGCAAAACTGTGCCTTCTATTTATCTTTGATTCTGGTCCTGACAATTGTTTAAAGAAAAGTAATAAAGATTCTAGATTTGTGTTCAGATTCAGAGTATGTGGGGGAACTGTAGAATTTTTTTTTTTTTGGATCACGTGTATGTGTCGTGTTAACATTGTTCTGCCTTATCCTAAAATCACGCCTCAGACTGGACCGCTTTTGAGGAAGGTGCTTCTGCGAGGCCTCTGACCTCAGTGGCTGATGGCCACGTTCTACTCTGCTGTCTATCTGGGTTCCTGAGGGGCCCGTCAGAAGGATTTGGCTTGAATCTCGGACTTGGCTAATGTGCTCCAGGGTCTGCATATTTTTTTTTCTTTAAATCATAGCCATATGGTAAATTTTCTATTTTGTTACGGTTCTCTTTTACTGATGGACATGCAGTGGGTGTTTCTTGGAAAAGGCCAATTTTTATTAAAATATTTCTGGAAGAAAACTTCATCTGGCAATGTAGACTGCTAAAACTCACTTCACAGTATTGTGTTGAGTGGTGTGTGTGAGATGGGTGAAGGTTGTGTTTACACAGCTTCAGTGTGTGGATAACCAGATTGTCAAATCTGACTTTTCCTAATGTTTTTTATGTGTGTGTATGTATGGGGGGTCTATTCACACATGGGTGTACCACAGCGTACTTGTGAATATCGGAGGACAAATTGGGTGCAGTCCTTATATTCCACCCTGTTGGAGACAGTCTGTCCTTTCTTGCATAGGCCAGGCCAACTGGCCCCTAGCTACAAGTTCCCAGGGATCCTCTCATCTTGCTGTAAGTACAGGGACTGCAGACATGAGCCGCGCCTGGCTTTTCTGTGGGTTCTGGGGATTAATCAAGTCTTCACACTTGCACATAGCACGTCTGCCAGTCATCTCCCTAGCCCTCTCATGTTCGTTTTGAGAACTGTCATGGATGGGTAAGTGTTACAGTTTTGTTGTTAGAAAGGGTAGTTTGGGTGAAAATGATAAAGTTATTGGTCTGATCTCAGTACCTCACAGATCTGAATATTGGCAGCATCTATATGTGAGGTAGCTGAGTCACATGACTGTTTTAGGGTTAGTTTAAATATTTTCATTTGTTTTAGGCCAGTGATTATAGGAAAGTATTCAGCATATACTACTACAGAAGTAGATCACATAAAGATTTTGGTGACAAGAAAGACAACAGTGGTACATGACTTTAGTCCCAGTACTCAGGAGGCAGAAGTGTGTAGATCTGTGTGAGCCTAACCTGGTTTATGAAGCAGTGTCCAGTCTGGCCAAGGCTGCATAGTGTGACGTTGTCAAAAATCAAAACAAAAAGGCAGCCAAAGAAAAAAGGAACCCTAGATTACTTCTGAAAAAAATAGAGGCGGTGCACTTTGGCATAGGCCTGTAGTCTCAGATACTAGAGAGCCACAGGCACAGGAAAATTTCAAGTTCAAGGCCAGTCTGACCTATGTAATAAGGTCTGTCTCTAAGTTTCAGTAACTCGGGGTAAATCTAAAAATGATTTTCACAATTGTACTAAGTCAGATGGAAGTTCTCCCTCGCCAGGAGTACTAACCTACTGAGGCTATTGACATTTGGCAGTACAAGGTGAGGAGATGTCTTGGGATCAGCACTGCCCCTCATATTCTCTGTGGGTCAAGGGTGATCAGGATTGATCTGAGAAATAACAGTTTCCTGTGGGTACATGGAATGGTGGTGGGATCAGGAGAAAGAAGTCCTGTTTCTTTGGCCTCAGATAAGTGGGAAGTGTAGATGTCCATGACCTCTCTGTATTGCGTGTGTGCATGTGTGAGTGCACGTGTGCGTGTGTATAGGGATGTAGCAGTATGCCTGAATTGCTTGTGACTAGTCCCGCTTCGCAGCAGTGGGATTGGGATGGGGATGTGCTTTGAAAGGGCATGGGCCTGATGGGACTTGGCAGCACAGTTTACATTGCTGAGAATCTGGATGTCAATACTGACACCACTCGAATCCTAAATCTCAGTGCTTAGAGGCAGGTGTTCATCGCCACGTAGAAAGCACAGGGTTTTTCTGTATGTATGAGGCTGACTCTTATAGCCTCAGATCAAATTAAGATTTGATCTGTAGGGATGACTCTGGATAGTTCTTTGTTATTGAGGGGAGTCTTAACCTGGACCTGTGATGGATTTTTTTTTTTTAGCCAAGTGAGTCTTAGTCGTCTTTTATTTATGTGTACATGTGTGTATGTTTGTGTGAATGTTGGCCATGTGTGTGCAGGTGACTTAGGAGGCCAGATGATGTTGATGACTCCCTGGAGCTGGAGTTACAGGTAAGTGAGCCTTCCTACATAGGTGCTTGTACATGTGTGTATGTTTGTGTGAATGTTGGCCATGTGTGTGCAGGTGACTTAGGAGGCCAGATGATGTTGATGACTCCCTGGAGCTGGAGTTATAGGTAAGTGAGCCTTCCTACATAGGTGCTGGGAACCGAACCCATGTCCTGGAAGAGCAGCAAAATGCTCTTAGCCACTGGGCATCTCTCCAGCTCCGAGTTTTTGTCAGACGTAAGTAAATCTTAAGCAAAACTGTTTATTTGCTTTCATGGTGAGATGGTGTTCCCATGTTCTTCCATTCCCAGCTGCTGCTCTGGAGCAGTGGGAATTGGATAATTAAAATAAAGGCCTGTGGCACATACTTGTAATCCTGGTGTTCAGGAGGCCGAGGCAAGAGGATTGTGAGTTCAAAACCAACCTCTGTTACAAACCATGAGCCTGTCTCAAAGACAATGCAGCAAGGAACAAGTGAACTCACTTAATTTTCATGTCTACCCTGTGGATTATGGTACAACAACAAGGGGAAGATACGGCATGAAGCAGTTGAGTGAGCAGGGCTTCCAGGAACAGGTGGGGTTTCTAGGCAGTACCTAATGTGTTGAACCAGGAGCCCATGTCCAGCTGAGTGCCTGTGAACCAGGTATTCCTAGAGCGGGATCGCCACTGCACAGACCTGAGTTGCTGTAGCATTCAGAACACAGTAGCGCCCCTGTTCTTTTAGGAAAGTAAACTCACTGATTGCTTATAGAACTGGTGTTCTGCCCCCACTCCCCTTAGAGATGGATGCATTTATTGTCTCAGCCAGCTGTTTTTTTTGTTAAGAAAGGTGGGGGGAAGGGTACAGGTGTGTCTGTGCGGTGTGTGTCTGTGAAAGCCTTGAGTGTCCCCAGGAGTCATCCACTTTTTTTTTGAGATGGTCTCACTATGTAGCTGTAGTTTTGGAACTTGCTACATAGATTAGCCTCCTCTTTAACTCAGAGATCCATCTCCCTCTGCCTGTCAGATGTTGGGCCTGTGACACACTTGCAATCCTGGTGCTCAGGAGGCTGAGTAGGTGTACTGGGAGGCACCTACATTGAAGTCCCTAAGTGATGGCTGAGTCTGTGATTGGAGTCACTGAGGTGTGCAAGCCGGCATCAAGCTCTACCTTGTTCTTTGAAATAAGGCTTTCTCACTGGGACTTGTTGCTCTCATTAGGCTAGGTAGCTGGCCAGTGAGCTCAGGGCATCTACCTGTCTGCCTCCCCAATGCAGGGATTACAAGTGTGTCCCCCGACACCCAGCTTTTATTTATGTTCTGCAGACTGAACTCAGGTCCTCAGGCTTGTGTGGCAAGCATTTTACAGAATGGACAATTTCTCCAGCCTTGCTAATGTGATGCTTTAAGAGCTGAAACTCAGCTGCCATGTTCTCTGAGGTCTTTCAGCATTCTGTATTTGGTGTGTTGGTGCTTTGAGTCCCCAGGGGCAGTGTTTGGGGCAGGAGCTCTGCTCTGTCCCCTTCCTGCCAGGCTGTATGTGCCATGTTATGTATCCACGGCCTGCTGTTCTTTTTCACATGATTCACTCGTGAGGTGAGGCTCCAGCTCGTGGAATGACAAGAGTCCCCATGGTATTCCTGGACATGCTGAGCCCATAGCTTCCCGTGCCTTCTCTTCCCTGAACATGGGCATGTGTCCCCAGCCACATCTCTGTTTCACACCAGTTTTTGTCAAGACCCAGTTCACTGTTAGAATTGTAAGTGAACAAATTCACCTCCCTTTCATTTTGTTTTGTCCCTATTCAAAGTTCTGTCCCATTCATTGTCATAAGTAGTGTCTTCCTGGAGGACTCTTTCTCATGGTTCAGCCTGGAGTTGGAATTAGCTTTTTACCACTGTGTTAAGTTCTTAGGGAACTGAGAACAGATGCTTAATTTCTGTATCCCATGGGGAGGCACCTACCTTGAAGTCCCTAAGTGATGGCTGAGTCAGTGACCGGAGATAGCCTTCCATCAATTTCAGATTGTGTGACATTTCAGTACAGAAAATTCTTGGAAGACTGGGGTGGGTGGGTGGAAGTAGGGGGTCTATTGAGGAGGAAGTCTGTGGTCTGAGTATTCTTCCTGGATGTCCTTTGTCCATTGTAGGCATTGTCCCTGCGGGACAACTGATTTCTCACAAACTCATGCTCCGCCCTGCTAGAAGGGAGTGGTCAGTTTCCCTTCTTCCTCCCTGCATCCCTCCTTCCTGCTTCCTTCTTCGAACCTGCATCCACTCTTCAGAAAAGTCCCATCAAACTACCTCAACAGACTTGACACCGCACCCTCCCCCTCCATGACGTCACTGGTCTCCGCTCCATCAGATTCATCTTTCTGAAGCAGCCCCCGCCTTGTACCCCACATGCGTTTTCTCTCTCTTCCCACCCCCATAGACTGTAAGCTCTTTGTGGCAGGATCTGTGAGTGAGTCACCTTCGTTAACCCCCAGTGGTATCTACCAATAAATATTCTTGACTAAACAAATGAGTTCTCATTTCTCACTATGAAGTCCTAGTGAAATGCTTCATAGGTTATACACAGGTTCTTCTCTGGGGGTAACTGTAGGATTTCGGAAGTTCTCACAAGATTGGTGAAGTCTAATAATCAGGAGTTAATCACAGAAAATTTCAGAAAACTTTAATTTTTTTCATTAGAATTGGCATGGATATGTGTCTATGGATGGCTCAATAAATATACTTTTATATACAGCACAGAAATTTTACATTCCATCTTTAAATTGCAGAAATAGATTTTTTTTTTACAAGCCAAAAAGACCTGAACCCCAAAACAAAACAAAAATAACAAAAACAAACCCTGCCATAACTTTAATGACTTCATGCAAAAAAGGGAAGGGGCCAGAGAGAATTGCCTGTTCAAGGTTGAATGGTCAATGAGACGTAAAAATAGTACATTAAGGAAGCGGTTGCTTAGCACGCTGCTTAAGGTGGGAGCCAGACAGATCCTTAACTGCAGCTTTAAGGCCATACCTAGTTTATACATATATACAAAGAAGTTTCCATAGAAAACACATGGTCACATTCTCTTCTGGGAAAGGATGAGGAACTTCCGTGAGAGTAATTCAGACCCAATTTTCCAGGTCAATTCATCAGAGATGTCACCGGACTGCTACTCAGCAATCTGCTTTGGCTATGTGGCTTGTGGAAACCTCTCCCATTGTGGTGATGAAGTACTTTACAGCTCAGCTCACAGTGCCCAGCTAAGCACGGCTCTTGCATCTTTTGGACTTAGACAATTGTAGGCATCTTACCTTTAATGGACCCCACATCCACACTGGCACTGTGATAGGAAGGATGGCAGGATGCCCTTGTAGGGGTGAAATGCCCAGGGAGTCTTAACTTCCAGGAAGCATTTCCTACCTGTTTAAAGGGGCTGAATTTTCTCCCTTGTGATTTGTGACACATTTCAGTTGGAAGCTAACTTTTCTGGGGAGGGAAAGAGGAAATACAAAGTTACCCAAAGAACCATCTGCTCTGTCTCAAAACCAAGCCAGAGAACTTGGAAGACAGGTTAGGTTTGTGCAAACACCTAGATGGATGAATTAGAGATGACAAAGGGTAGTCCTTTGGAGGTGACTCCCAGGTCCACAGGAAGTCTTTCGCTTTGGCAAGGTTTGGGTGAGACTGAAGTGGCACATCGCTCTCATTGGCAGAAGCTAGCTCATTTCAAATGAGTGAATTACATCTGAGGTTCAGGTGAGAATGGAGAGCTTACCAAGTCTGGGGTAAACAAGGCAAATGCAGCATCACTCCAGGCTTGTAACCACCCAGGCATGTCAAAAGCCGGTCCAGTCTGGTCTGGCGGCCCCGTGGCTTGTGTGGACAGTCACTTCATTTGTACTAGTACCAGCCTTTGGGTAGGCACTGTCAACGACTTGCGTGGATCCCAACAGGACTGTCACGAGGTTGATCCTGACAATAACAAGAGGGCTTCAAAGGACTTCCGGTCTTGTCTTGGCCACTTGGTTTTTGAGACAGGGTCCTGCTGCTTAGCTCGGGCAGGACTGGAACTCACTTTCTGATTCTACCACCTGTGTGCTGGGATTATAGTCACGCACCACCACAACTGGCTGTCTTGGTCATTTTGTTTATTAGAAGACATGTATTTTATCCAGTTTTTCGAGGTTTTTTTTTTTTTAGGCTGCTGCAGCCCCTGCTACATCAATCTTTTGTAAGCTTAACTCTGGTTGCTTAAATTTTAAAAAAAATGCGAACATACTCCTCACCTCTTTGTTGTCTGTAGTATACACGTCAGCATGCAGTAGGCATTGCATGGGGCCAGTATGAGAGAGAAGGAAGATGAGCCCCTTTGGAGTCCAGCTCGTTCATCTCATTTTAACTTGGTGGTGATATTATTATCATGGCTCCAGCATTGAAAGATGAAATCATTATGACATGAAATTGGATGGGTTTAAAATGTGCAATTTATCTCATCCAACACTTCAGCTTCGTTGATACCATTCTGGCTAAAGTAGCGTGCTGAGAGCACAATGTCTTTTAATATGAGGTAGAAATGCATCTAACATGGAGAACGTTAACCTACCCAACTGCTTGCGTGATACCCCTCCCTTTCAAGCTAAGACCTAGGGACCATCTTTTACAGAGGGAGATACTATAAGCCATCTCCCCAAAATACCCCTCCTAAATTTGCCAGGGGAAGGAAGGCAAGTTCCTGAGGGGGGAAAAAAACCTGCTCTTTTGTGCATTTGCACCTGCGGTGGCGTGAACAGCATCTGGTTCCTGTCTATATTTTCTCCTCCATACTGTTTCTTTCTTGTCAGATTGTGTGCCTGGAATAATTCTTCTCTAGGTTGGGAAATGATTTTTAGATGCAGCTAAGGATGAAAACAACATGTCGGACTTCTTTTCCTCCAGGGCTGCTCTTCAGTGAGATCAACAACAAGGTGATGTCTGGACCACAAACTCAGCTCTAGAAACACCTTCAGTACACTGCTGAGGATGTGGTTTGGGGGTAGAGCTCTAGCCTTGCATGTCACGGGCTGTGGGTTCAATCCCCAGCACCACATCGGGGAGAACAGAAAGAACACAGGTCTTCGCTGTCTGCCTTGTGTGTTCCATCAGTTAACCGAGACAGGAAGGACTTTTTAGATAGTGTTCATAGTGAGCTCCGTGAGGAACCACAACTTTTAGGGATGGCTCAGTCAGTAAAGTGCTTGCTGCACAAACTTGAGGACCTGAGTTTGGAACCCCAGACCCATAGAGAAGCTGGGTCCAACAACCTTTCACCTCTACACACACACACACACACACACCATAAAATAAAGAAGCCTGAGAAGCTGGGTCCAACAACCTTTCATCTACACACACACACACACACACACACACACACACACACACACACACACACCACAAAATAAAGAAGCCTGGCTCCCAAGCCTTCTTAGCATAAACTCTTAGCACTTAATGGGATGAATTGATGACCTTTGAGATGTGAGTTCCCACACGACTACTTCATATGCTTCCAAGTTTAGGAAAAGCAGGTTCTCCCATGAGAAGTGCAGAAGAAGCTGAGCGGGCTGGGGACATCATAGGGGTCAGGAAGGAGATGGAGACTTCTTGCTTTGTCCTGCCAAACTGCCTAATGAGACCCGATCTGTAGCATCTTCTGTAAGCGTGCCCGATAGGCACAGACCCGCCTCTCCTAACCTGCCTCCAATTCGTTCACCCGAAAGTGCAAGCAATGCTTACACGAGCCCCTTCACTTTGCCCCTGGATCTCAGCACTTGCTCAGTCTGCTTGAGACTGTCCTGTCCCATCTATCAGAACCTCACCCGCTCCTTACATGACTGCTCAGCTGGGCTTCCAATACACCACCGTCCACTTCTTTCTCTGTGGCGTCCTCCATCTCCCATGCTAGTGACTGTTTTGGAACTTCAGGCGCTGCCTCCTACTTGGTTTTATTTGGATGCTCAGCTTTCATAGTATGCCACTTTCAGACTTAACACAGCAAATGTAGGAAGGGTAAGAAGAAAGTCACAGAAAAATTGAGAATACCTCCATTTATAATGTCACATGTGGTTATAGTCTAGTCTTGGCTGTGACACATGATAATATGAGAGAATTCTCTGCTCCAGTTAGGTTAAGTTGTTCTGTCCAGACTGAAGTATTCAAAGACTAGTGTGTAATTTTCATTTGGAGACCCGCTAAGTCAGACTTGGCCTTCACTAGAGTCCATTCAGAGTGAAACTGTCCTCATTACCCAGATGATCTGGGGACCCTCAGGAAAGAAGCTAACACGTTCCTGGGTACATTACTCCTACAGGTAGTGAACCTGTTTTGCCAACACCCTGGCTTTAGGATAGAGCTGAGGGGCCTTGGTGAGCCCTGGGAAATAGCAGGAGAGACCTTGAACAGGGAAATGGACTGCCTGGGGTATTGTGCAATCAAGTTATCTACTGAACAAGTTAGACCAGGAACAAGGGGATCCCAAGACAAGTATCTATTTAGTTCTTAGGGTTTTTGTTTTGTGGTGATGGAGGAGCTGACTCTCTACACGTTTTGTAATTCCATTTCCCCCTTTAATTTCTAGATCTGAGATGAGAGTGAAGAGCTACCGGACAACCCTTCTTTTCTGGAACATTGGTCAGTGTTTCCGATTCATTTGGCTCTTATCTGAAGATGGTTCCTTTTTACGCAAACACCCGCCTGGAAGAAGTAGCTGGGCAGCTGTCCCACAGGGTTAAACCATTTGCCTTCTAAACAGGTGGATGAGACCCCCAAATAGTAAATGGTTGCCTTGGATATAGTCTTTCAAGTTTGGGCTCAAATGTCCTATGCTCCAGAACCGCTGAGCATCCATCCTAAGAGTGAGATGCTCTCAGCCCCGTCTCTGCCTGTTGTTGCTGCATCTTGCCCTGAATTATTCAGTCACACCGGGTCTCACCCTGCTCAATTTCAAGGCCAGCCCTTAGAGATGATGCTTATCTTTGGCTCCTAGGCCTTTCACTGTTTCTCATCTTGAGTGGATGTTAAAGGAATTCTAGACTTTAGAAAGCCTCAGGGAAGGTCTTGTCCTACCTCTGCACTCCAGCCAAGTTTAAGCCTTCCTAGCACAAGGTTTCCCCTCTGCAGGATCACAGGTAAGGCACATGTCTGTATCCTCCAAACACCACTGATCCTCACCTGCCCTTCAGCTCACTCCTCTTCATTTTCAGACTTCAGTAACTACTCAGTGGCTTCATCTCAGCCAAGTTCCCTGTGTATCAAGCTGTTTTAGTAGATTATTAACCTTGAAGATGAGTTAGTGAATTTATATTGTTTGTGACTACATTTTGAGATAAGGAAGAGAGAAATTGGCTTTTTTGTTTTTTCTTTTTCTTTTTGTTTTTTGAGACAGGATTTCTCTGTGTAGTTCTAGCTGTTCTGGCACTTGATTTGTAGACCACACTGGCCTTGAACTCATAGATCCACCTGCCTCTGCCTCCTGAGTGCTGGGATTAAAGGCGTGAGCCACCATCACTGAACATTGGCTTTTGATCAAGATCTTTGATTTCTAATCTAGTAAAAGTATTCACCAGCATTTGAGTGGTAACTAGGACTTAAATGTTCATATACTGGGATGTTCTTTAACAAAAAGATCCAGACTTTTGATCTGCAGCTATCAGATTCATTTTAGCGAAATATCTCATCTATATTCTATTTTTAATAACAAAAACATGGATCATTTCATTTCCTCAATTTTATGCTCATCAACAATTTGGGAAGTTAGGGTTCCTTCAAGATCACAGAAGGTGAGATAATTTGTTGAAGGTTAAAAAACACATACATGGAAAAGGTAAATGGACACCAGCCAGTCTCAAAACTCAGTTCCTTGTCCTCTGTGGGACCAGGCCTGGATACTCTCTGTCAGGCTTTGTCTTGGGCTAGTTATCTTTGGCTCCCATGACTTTCACTGTATGCTTTGGACACTTCATCTGGAAGGGATGTTAAAGGAACATTTTCTGCCCTGTAAGTACCCCAGTCTCCTATACTAGACCCCTCTTTTGAAGGCTTTTCTGATCAAAAAAACTCTACATGGCTGCCAGTCATCTGACATCATCTCCTCATCTGCCTCTGCTTTTCATCAACCCCCACACCAGGGAAGTACTCTTCTACCAGAGACTCCTTTATTGCTCTTGAGATTTTGACTCACTCAAGGATGTCTTCTCTGTCACTGGGATGTCAGAGTACAACAGACCAAATGCTTGCCAGGATGTATGTTTTCCTTGCACAGACAGTCCTCATGGTTGAGCCATTAAAGCAAGACACATTCACTCCTCTCTCGTCATAGACTCTTGTTACTGTTCCCTAGAATTGGAGGAAAAGAAGAAGGCTCTCACTTCAAATTTCTGAAGTAGAAAAACAGAATCCATGTTCTATTTAAAGAATATGTTTCCTGCTTGCTTGGGTGGAGACACATTGTTCTAGTCGATTCAATGGGTAGAAGTCATTCACCGATTCACAGACTTATTGGCCACTTGTCAATCCAAGAGGCATCCCGAGAAAACCCAACCTCACCTGTCTGGGCAGAGTTAAGGGTGGAGGGTGGGTAGAAAGTGCTGAAGATGTTCCTGAAATAGATATTGATAGATAGCTTCCAGTGTGACGTTCATTGTTCTGGACTGGGTTTCCAGCCTGGCTGGGCAAGGGCTGTGACCTTCAGAGCCCTGAAGAGGATACACTCTGCTTATCATCTTCTCCAAAGGATGCAGTCGCTGCCAGGGTTGTGACAACCCCCTTTGGTTTCAGCATGTTGCAATGAAGTAAGACAGAAGACAATTATCAGTGGCAGCACCATCTCGACTGAAGTGCCAATCTGTCCTGCAATATTACATCATGGTGCCTCTCTAAGACATTACTTCTTCTTATGATGCTCGTAAAGATGCATATGCTGGATGAAATGAACCAGCCTTCTTGGTTATTTGCCTCCCATGTAGGAAAAAAAGACAATGAAAATATTGGTATATTTCTGAAAGGGATTACTTTCCTATTTATTGATAGTTTAGAAAAGGAAATAATTGGGGTGAAACTTCCTTCTTTTTTTCTAGAGTTAATAGAAAAATAGATCTCTCTCTTTCACACACACACACACACACACACACACACACACACACACACACACACACACACGTTTTCCACGGGAGCCTTTGCCATGAAGGGTCTTGCAGGTGCTAGGAAATTCCAGCAGAGGGCAGAGTGGAGTCATTTATTTCTGAAACCAGTGGGATCCGTGGAGCTAACAAAGTAAGAAGCAGTTGGTGTCCCCACCTGGCTCCTAGGATAAGATGCAGCTTTGGAGGTGAATTGAAGTCATCTGCTCCTCCATGCCCCTTTCCAAGTTTTACACTATGCATGAAAACCAGTCTGTACTGAAGAAGAACTTCAAAACCGGTAAGGTATTCTCTGCACGGACATCAGATTCCCATATACTGAAGCATCCATTTTATACCTGTAATCCCAGGGCATAGGGCCCTTTGTGCTCAGCCTAAAGGGGAAATTGCGAAAGCCTTGCCCTGTTCATTGGGGTCACCTGAAAGCTTTGGCCTAAATTATCTAGTTCAAATTTTTCTTCCTTCCTTCCTTCCTTCCTTCCTTCCTTCCTTCCTTCCTTCCTTCCTTCCTTCCTTCCTTCCTTCGACTTTTGATTAAAAGAAGTATGGAAAAGCAAACTTGCAAATTTTCCAAAGAACAGAAGCAACAGGAATTGTGTAGGTCAGTGCAACTGTGCACAAATCTACGTGCTTGCATGGAGCCCTGAGAAATCAAACCGATGGTAAGCTTTAAGTTGTGCAAAGATCCTCCGTGTAAACACAGATTCATAGCAGGGAGAGCCAGGGAGAGCTCAGATACTGTCCTGTTCTCTCCACAGTGCAGTCAGAGAGACCAAAGCTTGGACATTCACCCAAGAGCATTCTGTGTATTAACCGCAGGCTTGATTCAGGTTGTCTCTTTGCTCATAGTCTGAAGGGTTTCAGTGACATTCCCCAGTATGTCTCAAAGATGTGAGCCCATTGCTTGCTGAATTGGACACCTTGGCCAGACAGCTCACAATGGACCATTCCAAAATGATGACACGGGCACCTAGGAGCCCAGTTGAGACTGGGCAAATGGTTCATTGATTTCTCCATCTTAGGGTCATTCCAGATGCTTCCCATGGAAACCATTTTGGAAGGTGCTGGGTGGTTCTGTGTTCAGCACAGATTCTGATGTGTCCTGGTGCCTCCTGTGGTTGCCCCATTCACCTGGTCTTGAGTCAGTCTGAGCACAGTAAGGAGAGGGCTCCATTGGTTATTTTCTATTACAAATATCTGTTAACCTAAATAAAGGGGATAAAGTGCCACTGGAAAGGACTAATTGCAGCCTCTCCTAAGATGCACAGCCCTGGAGTGACGAGATTCCTTCTCTTGTGCTGAGGAAGACCTCACAGCTCCACAAACTGGCGTCTTCATCCTGAACTCTGGCTATTCAAGGCCATCTTCACTTTTCCCGCCCCCCGCTTTGAACATTTTTCCGGTGGGAAAGGACAAACCTCAGATGAGAGTCGCCCACTCATGGGGATCCCACTGCTCAAGATTTCCTGTAAACAAAGGTCCTGTGCCCCTTACCCAGAGCCGAAACGTAGATTGTCTTTTTGGATCTTACAGTCCAAGAGGAGGCAAGGCACGGGCCGTTTGACCTTGAACCTGGCGGGACACCAGCAGTTCATCTCATCCCTCTGGCTGCATAGTGCATCTTTACTCAGAACTCATGGTCTTTGTCTTGGCTTCCTCAGTTTTAGACCCATCTAGGCATTAGCTTCAATGCCACAGGGAAGAGCGGGAAAACTCCCTAGGGAAAGTGCATGGCAGGGGGCAGGTAGGCATCACCTCATCATTCCCCTTCTCCATCCTGCCCCTAGCTCCCCAGCTGATTGTCAGCGATTGATCTCCATCCTACCTCTAACTCTGATCCAAGGCCAAGACAGTAAAGCACTAGGACAGAAGTGCCACGCCTGTGCCCTAGCCACAGGCTGCAGGACTGGGACAGGCGTTGTGCCATGGGTAGGGTGGTTCTGTGCATATCCAGACCTGTCAGCGGGACTCCTTCTTCCAACTCAGTTCATCTCAGTCCCTGTCTCTTTCCCTGGAGTGCCCTGGCTAGTCTGGGACCCTTCTGGCACTTCAGAGTTAGAAGGAAAGAGAAATATTTGTCTAACTTTCCTACGTGTTAAAGCTGTGCAAAGCATCGTTAAAAAAAAAAAAAAAGAAAGACTTATAAAAATATAATGGGGTCATTCCCCCAAGCTTCCCATGTTATGATATATGAAATGTCAAAATATAATGAGTGGACTTTCTAAATATCATTGTCTCTTCCCACCTGTAAACAGAATGGGCAGCAGCAGCAGCAGCAGCAGCATTGGTGCCTTCTCTTTCACATCTTTAAACTTGATTCCCGCCTGGCATTTGGGACCTTTTTCAGCCAGGCCCACCTTTCCCATAATGCACCTACTTGCAGTTCCAAAGAGACTCTCCAAAAAAATAGACATTTGGAAAAAAGTTCATGGGTTTACACTCAGTCTCTCCCCATATTGTTTCTCAAGATTATTACTTTTTTTTTAACAATAAAAAAGATTGCATATTGGTAATACAACGAGAAGACCATAGAGCTGGCACTGAGTTGGGCTGGCGCTGAAGCGCAGAAGCAAGAGGAGCAAGCTTGGTGCCCTGTGTGTGTGTGTGGGGGTTCCTGGATTCTCCATCCCCGGGCTTCTGCAATGGCCCTTCTCCTCAGTCACTTCCTGCTGTTGGTCCGCCTGTATCCATCTCCACGACCCACGCCTGTGTCATGCGACCCTCTCGAAGCAGAGGCGGAATGGCTTTTTGGCATGTGTCCACCGGGGTCAGTTTGGAGACAGACCTGGCATTTGTAAGGGTGCGATGTGGGCACATACCACAGCAAGCTTATTAGTGACCATTTCTACTCTGGGAAAAGTTGTCCGTCACTTGGGGGATTTTAAAAGTTTAAGCAGTTACTAGGCTGATTTAAGAGACGCATCTTTTGTTCTCGTGGGATTTGCATTAACGTTAAGCATGGTTATATGTCATATATTACACCGCTTTCCTGCTCTGGGGCAGGCAGCACTGACCTCCAAACAGGAGGACCCCCCTCCCCCAGTCAAACCAATGGACTTGAATTTTGAAAGCTGTGATTCCCCAATCCCCCTCCCTCACCCCACCCCACCCCTCATGGTCCTCAGTTGCTGTATTTGAAAAGCACCCCCCCCAACTCATGCCCTCGGAGGCTAGTTGAATATTGCCATACCCTGGAAGTATCCACCCCTGTGGTCTCTATTGCACTTGGTGGAGGGAGATGGGTGTGCGCTCTCCCTCTCTCCCTCCTCCCCTGGCTCCCAGCCTCGGTGCTCCTCCCACCACCCTCTCCCAACCCCCCACCCCACCCCAGAGCCTTCACTTGTTGTGGACATCCTCCCTTCGGACGATCTTGTAGATGATCCAGTAGAACATGTTGAAGATGAGGAAGGCCATGGGGAACCCAATGCGCGATATCTTGTCGATCTTCTTGGCTCTCTGGATGAAGAGCTTCCGCATCTCCTCCGGGGACTTGGACGGTGCAGGAGGGGGGTTGGTGGTGTTGTTGTTGTTGGCACCCTTGACAGAGATGCCATCCTTGGCCTGCAGACAGGCTGGCCCCATCCCATAGGCAGAGAAGTTGAAGCGGCCTTCTCCACCCTCATCATCCTGAAACAGATTCAGCATGGGGCTCTACTTAAAATAAGACAAGGACTGGGCACCCTCCCTGCAAGGCACTCCCCTGGGGGACCAGGCCATGCCATCTGATCCTCCCTGTCTCTTAGGCTTTGTGTCCCCAGTTGCTGGAGGCAGTCTGGCTGGCTGGGGAGTTCAGCCTTATAGAGGGGCGCCACTCGCATGCTGAAACAGATGCAAGCCAGGGGATGGGAATGGGTACAGATTCTGAGGCCCAAGCTCCATGCCAGGTCGTGGGTCTTTGTCATTTACTGACTTGTGACCTCACACTGGTAGCTTCCTTCCTGGTGCCTGAGAATGATTTCAAGGTTTCTTCTCAAGGCTTTTTAACCACTGGAGACTTCACTGAGGAGGTGGCTCCAGGCTGGCCTGGGTTTGGGTTAGAGTTTTGGAGAACGGTTTGCAGACATCCCCTGCTTTGCCTCTGTTGCATCCTTCCCATCTTCCCCACCCCGTGACGGCCTGGGAAGGAGCAGAAAGCTCCTGGCTTTCCCATGTTCTGAGTCAGGGAAGCCATGGCTTCTCTCTGCTTCGTGTTCCCACGCCATCACCTCCAATAGTCTTCTGGTTTCCATAAGCTTGTCACAGGCTCTTTGTCATTTGGCTCCAACTTACCTTTCCAGCCCCACCCCACTTCCCATGTGATCTGCATCCCTGCTGGCTTTGTTGGCCTTCTCCTTCTTAAAATGTTTGATCCCAGATCCTAGTGGTTCAGCCCTTTCCCAGCCAGCTCCATCATGCCCTGGTCAGTCCCCTTCACCTGCAGTCCCACAACAGGACCAAAGGCCAACGTGTTTGTTTTGTTTTCTGTGTGTATGTGTGCTCACAGGTGTGTGGGTACATGTGTGCATGTGTGTGGGACATGTGGAGGCCAAAGGTTGGTGTCAGGTATCTTCCTGGATTCCTGTCCTTCTTTGTTGAGACCAGGTCTCTCAGTTGAACCCAGAGCTCACCAGTTCAGCTAGTCTCGTGCAGGCCGGCTTGCTCCCAGGATCCCGTGTCTGCCTCCCTTGAGCTGAGATCACAGGCAGGATACCCCACCTGCCTGGCACTTCTGGTTCTCAGGCACTTTAGTGGCTGAACCATGTCCCCAGGCCAAGGCCAGTGTTTCGGCTGCAGCTGAGCCACCAATTCAGTGTGTGGTGCTGGCAAGGTTCACCAGCTCACATTGCCCTCCTGGATACCAAAACTTCCAGGAGAGGAATTCTGTCTTGCTTGCCCCCCCCCCCCAAAGACAGTACCAATGAGAATAAGGATCCAATACTCTGATCTTCCCATGCCTCTGCTACCCTTGGGCATGCCACCATCTGGCTGACCTGGACGTCTCAGGCTTCCTGCCTCAGTATACCAAATGCTGGAATTATGGGTGTGTGCGACTATGCCTTGTTCTACTAAGAACTTCCTAGCAGGCTGCCGCTGACCTCAGGATAATTAAATTTTTCCAGTGCTAAAGAAGGCCTCAGATTCCCTGGCATGTGTCCCCTGTTCTGTCTCCCTTCATGCCATTTTCTGTGTGACATTATTCTTCAGTCACCCTGAAACGTTTCCTCACGTTTGAGGATGTTGGGCTGAATTCCTCTTTGGTTCAGTTCAAGTTATTCTCTCCGCTGTGCCTCTACCTCCAAAATGGGAGCCCTGGCCTCCCATGTAGGTGCCCCTTGAGCTCCCAAAGACAGGCTAGCTGTCATGGAGAGTGCCCTGTGAGTGCCCCTGAGGAGAAGCTCCGATTCCACTGGGTTCTAATTCCTTTGCTGACCTTGCCCCTCCCATCAGACCAGCAGTTCTCAACTTGTGGGCTGCGACCCACTTTAGGGGGTGGTTGGAAGGAGAATGACCTTTTCACAGGGGAAACACAGATATTTACATTAGGATTCATAACAGTAGCAAAACTAGAGTTATGAAGTAGCAACAAAATAATTTTGTGCTTGTGGGGTCCCCACAACATGAGGAACTGTATTAAAGGGTCATGGCATCAGGAGGTTGACGACCACTGCCCTTTGTGAACAAGCAGCTGTGGTGCAGCCTGTCATCCCAGTGTTTGGAAGCAGAAGCAAGAGGATCAAGAGTTCAAGATCGGCCCAGCCACACAGATGGAGGTCAGCTTGAAGTACACGAGGCCCTGTCCCCCAAACCAGCAACACCCAGCTCACAAAACCCACCCCGAAACAAGCACTGACTGAGCATACAGACGTGTTCTTTTGGTGCAGAGGCCCAAAACCTAGCAGTATTATTACTTCAGTAAATGGAATCTTCACCAGCCCCAGCCTCCTTAATTGTTTTTCTTAGACTTACTTATTTTATGTGCATGGATGTTTTTCCTGCGTGTGTTTGTGTTCTAAGTGTAGGTAGTGCCTTCAGAGGCCAGGAGAGTGATGGGTATCCTGGACCTGGAGTTACAGACAGTTGTGGGCTACCATTGTGGGTGCTGAGAATCAGACCTGGGTCCTCTACAAGATTAGCAAGTGCTCCTCAATATCTGTCTGAGGGAGCCCTCCAGCCCACCCAGCCTCCTTTGACATATTTTCTTCTCTTCATTCCTTTGGTTTATCTAAGTGGGGTTGCATTCTGCATCAGACACATGGCTAATGACCAGCAAATGTTCCATGAGTGCATCTGGCTCAGCATTCACGGTGGAAGAAAGAGAACGTGGGTCACATACTGAGGGCAGACAGGTGCAAAGCCAACACTGGAAGGTGGTGGAGGCTTCACACCAAGGCCTAGAAGAGGAATGTGGGAGCCAGCACATTCCTGGACCCAGGAGCTGGCAAGGGAGGGACCTGGGACTTCATCACATCTAAATGTAGCTGAAATTTTTCTGTGTCCCGTTTCGTCCTCAGCTACTCAGACCCAAGTAAACACACGGAGGCTTATATTAATTAAAACGGTTTGGTCATTAGCTCCACTGATTAGCTCTTACATTTAAACTCAGCCCATTTCTGTTCATCTATATGTTGCCACATGTTCCATGGCTTTACCTGTGTGCCATTATATGCTGCTCCCTGGATAGCGGGCTGGCGTCTCCTGTCTCAGCCTTCCTCTTCCCAGAATTCTCCTTGTCTGCTTATCCCACCTATACTTCCTGCCTGGCTCCTGGCCAATCAGCGTTTTATTAAGTCAGTGTACAAAAGCATTATCCCACAGCATCTAAACATAAACTTGCCCTTACTGTTAGGAGGCAGAGAATAGAGACGGTTGTTTTCCCTTTTTTTATGGCTGTTGTCAGCACACAGCACAGCCCCAGTGCTGACAGCATGGTAATGGATGACATAGAAGTGTAAACGGTCTCTACACATCTGCAGCTCTAACTCAGAACTAATGCAGCTAGTGCTGAGCAACGCTGATGCTCTAAGAAAGCAGTCAGGCTGGAGAGACGGCTCAGCACTCAAGAACACTGGCTGTTCTTGCAGAGGACCTGGGTTTGGTTCCCAGCTCCCACACGGTGGCTCACACCTGCCTCTAACTCCAGTTCTAGAGGATTTAGTGCCATTTTTATTTTTTTGGTCTCCTCTGGCACTGGGCACATACATCCACACAGACAAAATACTTACAGACATAAAATAAAAATAAACTTTAAAAAGATTTAAAAATGAATAAAGCAGGTATGGGCTGATAAGATGGCTCAGTGGGTAAGCCTGAAAAACCTGAGTTCAATCCCCAGGACTCACACAATAGAAGGAGAGAACAGATTCTTACAAGTTGTTCTCTGATCACCGTATTTCTGTGTATACAGACATTCATGGACATTTGTGAGTGCGTGTGTGCACACCACACCACACACACACACACACACACACACACACACACACACACACACACACACACACAGTATTCAAGGCCAGCCTGGGCTACATGAGACTGTCTCTAAAAGCAAATAAAGAAAAGGAAAAACTTGGAGCGACATTGCAGTAAGTGAGTACTAAGTACCTCATGTACGTAATTAACTGTCTTTAGACAAACAGGAACACCACCACAACATGAATCCCCACTATATATAATAGGCTTTCATGGTATGAGAAACACACATTAGCTTTCCCAGACATTTTTGGAGATTTATGCTCCACCTTTCTTATCTGTTACTCATTGGCAGGGGAAGAGGTTTGGCTCCATCTAGATAGACAGCGGCCCCTTATATCTGGGAGAAAGGAAATGCCCGAGGAATGACTGGCAAAGGCTTGCTATTCTGACTACAACCAGCAGATGACAGGACAAGCATGTTCATCTGCCTGGAGACACTTGGGAACAGGGCAAGAAACTGGGACATAGACTGTGGAACCCACCCGAGGGATCTGGAGCATCTGTTGCGTCTGGGCCCTGCAGAAACTTCCTAATGATCCTTCTAATGAGGTGGGCCAGGGACTTGGAAGACTGGATGCTTTCTGCCCAGCAAATGAGGCAGCATTTGAAAACATGGAAAAACAGTGGGTGTTGGGGAGCCTGGCCCAGATCACTGGCCGAAAGAAATCCAGGCCAGAGCTAGTTCCTTGCCACTCACCATCAAAGGCTCCAAAACCTGCTTAGGCTTATTACTCAAGGGAGGTTTCCGAAGCCCAAATCTGCAGGACTTCAGTGCAAGCCACACCCAGATGCCAAAGGGAGGTCTTCCATAGTGTGGGCCCAAGTAACCGACATTGGTTTCACTGATTGATTGATTGATTGATTGACTGATTGGTTTTTTAAGACAGAGTTTCTCTATGAAGTAGTTCTAGCTGTCCTGGAACCCACAGAGATCCGATTGCTTCTGCCTCCTTAGTGTTGGGATTAAAGGTGTGTGCCTCTACAATCCAGCTCAGCCTGTGTTCCTAACCACTGTACCAGCTCTCCAGCTCCTCTCTTCATCTCTTTCTCCCCCTTTCTATCTCTCCTCTCCCTTCCTTCCCCTTTTTTCTTTCTTTTCTTGTAGCCAAGGCTAACCTTGATATCGCTACCTCAACAGTGATGTTATTGGGCTTATGGGGCTGGGTGAAGGGTTACTCACAGGAGCATGTGGCTCCAAAGCAGCCACAGGGGGAAGTCTTGGCCCAGTCTGGTTGATGGCTTCCCTATAGCTGCCTAGAGGATTTCCCTTCTTCAGTTAACCTTTCCTAGCTTTTAACCTTGAGCTTTTGATCTTCCTGCCTCAGCTTTCAGAGTGCTGGGATTACAGTGGAAATCACTGCACCTCATTTTATTTCAGTTTTTTTTTTTTTTTTTTGAGAAAAGATCTCATGTAGCTCAAGCTTCCCCTTGAACTTGATATAGCAAAGGATGGCTTTGAACTTCTGATTCTCCTCCCTCTACCTCCAAGTGCTGGGACTATAGATGTGCTTTAATGTCTGGATTTATGCATTGTGAGGCATGGAACGGGGGGGGGGGTTTCACAAATGCTAGGTGAGCACTCTACCCCAGCCCCCCCTTTTTTTTGAGGCAGAGTCTCATGCTTTAGTCCAGGCTGACCTTGAACTCCTGATCCTCTAGCCTCTGCCCATCATACCCAAGTACTGGAATTGCAAGTATGCACTACAGTGTCTACAGATGATTACTACTCCAAAGGAGGGACTTGGTGCCTAAAGGGCAGTAGGAGGTTCCATCTAGCCTGCCAAATCTTTTCCATTATAGACACAGAAAGACCTTGTTGTCTGGACCCGCCCAAGAAGATTGTCCTATGGTAGAGTTAATTGAATCATGTTGCCAGTGTTTAAATAACATACTAATGGGGAGCCGTGGTGTGTGTGTGTGTGTGTGTGTGTGTGTGTGTGTGTGTGTGTGTGTGTGTGATAGTTTTCATCCTTGATGCTGTGTGGCAGGGACAAAGTTGAAAGCTCCCTCGGAACCTCTGACTTCACCCTCAGCACAGTCTCCCACCAAGCCAGTCTTTGTAGATGATGAAGAAATGGAGCCCAGAGCCAGGCCAGCTTGAAGTCACATTGCAGAAAACCAACAGCAGGCCTGCCGCAGCCTGCCCTGTCTGCAGGATGAAGCTGGTTATCGTCTTGACTACGGGCATTTGCTTCTTGATGTCACATGATCCCTACAGCACGCTGTGGTTAAAGAGAGGCTCTTGATAGCCAACTAGGTCACTATTCACAAGAGGAAAAGTCAAGCTTTTCAGGATTCGATCTCTCACTCTCACTTGCCCTGCCCATGGGGACAGCCCAATGAAGCAAGGGTCCCAGGACTGCTCAGAGATCTTCCTCTGTCCACCGGATGCCCCTCCCTAGGCCACGCCCCAAAGGCCTACCTTGTGATGTCGCCGCTTCCTCCTAAATCGCAGCAGCTCCTTGTGTTGCCGAGACACGAAGTTCACGGCCGCATATTCCAGCAGAGCCGAGAACACGAAGAGCAGGCACACAGCCATCCAAATGTCAATGGCTTTCACATAGGACACCTGGTGTGAGGATGGGAGAGAGAGAGCACGGGCAGGTGAGCGGAGAGGACAATGTCCTGAAATATCGCAGTTTGTAAGTTTTAAGCCATACACTGTTCTGAACAGTGTGATGAACTCTTGCATCATACTCCTCCATCCTGCTAGTAACATACGCTGTCCTTTCCCAAGTGTATCCACTCTGTATACACTGCAGACGGCTACCAATCACTGAGTAGGCATGTGCATTATCAGACTGACTGTGGCCAAAGCTCAAGTATTATTTACTTAATAATGGCTCCAAAGTGCAAAAACAGACAAGCAGGGAATTTGGATATGACAAGAAAAACTACAAAAGCCTTTTTGAGACAGGGTTTCTCTGTGTAGCTTTGCACCTTTCCTGGAACTCACTCTGTAGCCCAGGCTGGCCTTGAACTCACAGAGGTCTACCTGCCTCTGCCTCCTGAGTGCTGGGATTAAAGGCATGTGCCACCACTGCCCAGTTTACAAAAGCCTTCTTTTAAGCAAGACTTCGAAGTTCTCAATTTAATACGGAAAGAAAAATATCCTTTGCTGATATTGCTAAGATCTATATCAGCATCAAATTTTTATTTAAAGAAAAATTTAACCTTATTTTTTATTTTACATACTTTAATTTTTTTTTTTTTTTACATATTTACATATAGGTATTTTGCCTGTGTGTGTGTCTGTGCACTATAAGCATGCAGTTCCTGAAGAGGCCAGAGAGGGCACAGGATCCTTTGGGACTGCAGTTACAGATAGTTATGAGCTACCCTGTGGGTGCTGGGAATTGAACCTGGGTCCTCTGGAAAAACAGCCAGTGCTCTTAACCACTGAGCCATCTCTCCAGCCTAAGAATACATTTTTTTTTTTAAAAAAAAAGATTTGTTTTTCGATTATATGTCTCTGTGTATATTTGCGTGTGAGTGTAGCATATGAGGAGACCAGATGAGGTCACCAGATCCTCTGGAGCTTGAATTACATAGATAGTTGTGAGCTGCCCAGTGTGATGCTGGGAACTGCGCTTGGGTCCTCTGCAAGAGCAGCAAGCTCTTCTAACCACGGAGCCATCTTTTTGGCTCGGCAGCAGAACACATTGTCTACACAGTTATGGTGTGTATAGGAAAAGAATACGGCATACAGGGTTGGTACCACTGTCGTTTTATGCAGTTGCTAGAGGAAGAGTATAGTGGAGTGTCCCTAGAATATGACCCCTGTGGATAAGAAGAGATTGTCGTGCCAGGTGTGATGGCGCACGCCTTTAATTCCAGCACTCGGGAGGCAGAGGCAGGAGGATCTCTGTGAGTTAAAGGCCAGCCTGGTCTACCAAGTGAGATCCAGGACAGGCTCCAAAGCTACACAGAGAAACCCTGTCTCAAGAGAGAGAGAGAGAGAGAGAGAGAGAGAGAGAGAGAGAGAGA